TAGAATAGGGAAAAGAATAAGAATTATCTTTGAGGAGATTTTGCTACAATAGGCTTCGTTCTTAACTATAGGTCATCTGTAAACCAAGCATTCTTAACCTTGGGACTACCTGTACAAATGGGTCATGTATGTGAATGTCAGCATGCACGATCCAGGCATGGACACTAAAATGGGCTGGCACAGAGAGAGATATGATCAGGCCTCCCTTGCATACTTTCCCCAACGGTCCATGTTCTCTCTTCATATAAGTCATATTAGTTTGCAGCCAAACTCAGAATCTGCTCTGTTCCTATTTAAAAAATCTCCTCAAAGATAATTCTTATTCTTTTCCCTATTCTAAATAGAAGTTATTTACCTTGCATGGCCTAACAGATCATGGGGTGAAAGCGCAAAGGAGTAATCCCCACCAATCTAAGATTATGAGATTACGTAAGTAAAATTGTTTCCCAAAATTACTGGCTTACTGAGGCAACTTGAGGCAACTTGACCTTGCTTTGGGCTGCGTTATGAACTCAGATCTTGGAATGCCTGCATTTAGTGTCCTGTGAGTAACCAAGCCAAGAGGAAACCACTCATCTTTTTTTTAAAGTTTATTTATAAACAAAATCAACAGAGTAAGTGCAGAAAAGAATATTGGCAGGATTCTTCCTGCTACCTGCCGTAGGCAGTGCTTACAGCAATGGTATTCTGCAACCAGGCAGTAATAGCAGAAACAGGTGGCCTGCCCCAGGGGGCTAAACTAGACAACCAAGATGGTAGCCAAGTTGCACCATTCCAGCACGTTGCAGTCATTGCTGGATCCTCCTTTCTGGAACTGGGTTATTGCCTGTGAATTTTCATTCCTTGTTTTAGAAGCCCTCTCGCCTTGCCTTCTGGCCTGGTCTGCGGAGCTCCTCTTCCACAAGCGTCTCGGAGAGAAAGAACCATCCACAGGAAGGAGCAGCAGGATACGTAACTTGGGCAGAAAGAAACGCCTGTGAAGGGCTTGTACCTTTGCCCGCCCCACCCCCCAGTTCAGGAACCAGGGGCAGGCAATGGGCAACCGTCTCAGCATTCATTTGTCTGCAACCCAAGGACAAGCTGCTATGGTTATTCTGGAGGAATAAAAAAGTATCACACGCTTGCTTTCCAGACACAAAGCACACTTCAGTGGAGGACCTGGAGAAAAGCAGAGCGGTGGGTCACCAGGTAATTACCTCCTTCTCCTATTCTCATCTGCCAGCAGCAAAACCCCTCTAACTACAGGACAATGAGGGCCACCACTCAAGTGCCATAAAAAATAAATACATTAATCATTTTCCAGAATACACATAAACAAAACAATTCAGGTTTCCCTACTGGGATTGGCAGAGAGACATAAAAAAAAGCCTATTTCCGCGTCTCTCTGCTGTCCCACGTGCCTGCCAGGTAGCTATCAAGGAAGCTCTGCCAGGTTGAAGTGGAGGGTGTTTTAAATGGTACCACTGTAGAATAGGAGACGTGTAATTCCCCCAGGAAAAACGTTAAAATAGTTGCCATCTCAATAGCAAGTAGAAAAGAAAACTTTCAAGCTTGGGGACAGGAGTGGGGGGGGAGGTTGCTTAGTTGTATGCCTTGTGCCACTTCAGTACAGGACCACACACTTCCCATCCTCCCGGCTCACTTGTAGTGCTGGAATAGTGGATAACACAAACACAGAGCCACTCGTGGTGACTACTGGTTATCCTCCATTCTTTGTTCCAAATAAATATTAGAATTGTCTGCCCATCAGCCAGCAACGTGGGGGGAGCGGGGGGAAGCCAGCTTGAGTCCTCAATTCAGGAAGAGGTTAACAGCACCAAGTGAGAAGTGAGAAGAGCGATCTGTAGGCAGGTAGTACGGCTCACAGAATATGGCTTCTGCCAAAACTCCCACCCTGCCCTTGCACCCAAGGGAGTGAACCATCTGGAGAGCAGCAGCTGCTTGTCCTAATCAGTTGGCTTCTTCTTATCAGTTTCTTCTGTATGGCACAGAAAAGTGACCTCTTGACATCCTCCTCATATTGCATGAAGAGGCTTCTCAAGGAGAGCAGCAAAGGAACATGGCGCAATTAAAAAAGAAGGGCCAAACAGCCGAGTCTAATGCATGGGTGGCTCTGCCAGAGCTCCACACACAGGAGGCCTCACTGCCTCTGCCAGATATGGTCCCAGATGCCACCAGCAGAGAGCTGAAGAAACATCCATCCCTTTGTGAGAATCTATCTGAAGCTTCATATGACGGTTCAGGGTGCCTAGGACCGTCCTCCTGCAGGATATCACCTTTCTTCTGCTGAGTAGGAAAGGTGTCCTAGTAATTCTGTGATGCGGTGGCTGCAGAAGGGAGGCACACGTTGCGTGCCTTCATGGAGAGCTGAGAGGGCCATGCTTGTGCCAGGAAGAGTCTTTTTCAGAACTTGCCCTGTTTCAACTTATCAATATGGTAGGTGAGTTTCAGCGCTGGCCCCAGTTTCAAGCCCATGTACTTCATCATCATGTCACTACGCAACAAAAGCAAGGCCTTGCCATCAATCTCCTGTAGACATAGAGTAGAAAAAACTATGTTTATTGTGTGTCGGAAGTAAAACAAGGCTGGTTTAGGGCAATTGCTGATCAGAGATAATACATGACAGGGCTACCTAACTTTGCAACATCAGTTGCACAGAAAAAGAAATTTCTTCCAGATGGCCTGACATAATGAGTGACACCCATCAAAACCCCTTCATTTGTATAACTTTTACATGGAGATTAGAGGCTTAGGGTTTGGCTTCTTTCTTTGCTACATCTTTCTTAGCTACTTGGAGAAAGTCTTTAAAATCAGACTCCAACCTTTTCATAATAAATAAAGCCCATGGGAACAGCAGCTATTTACATCTGCATTGTACTAGTCCATTTCTCTGCTTCAATTCCTATGCTACCATTGATGGCGAGATACATCCATCCCTTTGTTTCCAGAATAATCGTGTTTACTATGAGAAGTTACCGAAGCTTTGCCTCTTGTGACATTGATAGATATTGACTTTCTGAGAGGGAAGGAAATACTATAGAATTATTAATAGTGTGTTAAAAACTGCCTCATCAGCAGAACCATATGTTGGGTGGCAGCCCTTCCATCAGGGTGAAAGTTCTACCCAGGCCAAGTCTGATGTCCCTGAAGTCATATTTACATGTTTTCGGAAGAGATCTGCATGGGGTCCCAGCTGAGGGTCAGCTTCTCTTACAAACTGCATGACATCTTCCACCGTCCAAGCGGAGGGGTCCCGGGTACCCAACCGTGAAGTGTCTCGAGAGCTCAGGTATCTGTCGGAGCCTGAGGGCACAATGAAAAAAATCAAATAAATTCTGGTGCTGCAGAAGCTTAGGGATCCATGTCATTGAAATGTTTCTGGTGATATTTTTTAAAAATAACAAACCACTCTGTCAAATTTAATGAATTATTTGTACCAAATGCTTCTAGAGGGACAATAGGAAAGCCACTTCTTGCCAGCACAAGGGAGAAGCAAATATAAACAGAATTAGGGTTTTCCCCTCAATCTTCTACTGCATGAAGCTTTCTGTTAATGTTTCCAAAATGTCATAACCAAGATATATTTTTCCAAAAGAACATACTCTAACTAAAGCCAAAGGAAATGTCCAACATCACCAACTTTATAAACACTTTGCTACATAATCAATTCTTTGAAAGAACTGATACTAGAAAGGCAGAAACTGTGCTCCCTTCCTTGGCCAAGACTTGATTAAAACACCCATTTCCCAGAGAACACTGAACAAAGGTTGTGTATTTTCAAAATGGGTCAGCAGATGTAAAGGAACATTTGATAAAGATTTGGCATATGGGTCATCAGCACTCCTTTTCAGAAATCTTAACAACAGTAGCAATGGAAATGTTCTTCAAAGCATTAGTGAGTGGGCCCTTTGAATCCATCTCATTTTGAACCCAAAATATATTGCAGGCATAATGTTTGAACAGACACATAGACATGAGGGGAACATATGTCATTCTGCCTAGTTGAGTTGCTAACATGTTGAGCTATGATAGACTGGACACAGTTTTGAATTTGGCCTACCAATGGACATGCTTTCCTGTTACATAATTTCTTGATTTTCTCTTCCTAATGTTTATGATATTTACAAAAATACTAACAACAACAACAACTACTACAAAAGAATTTTGATGTGTTGCAGAAATGGAGAAATCAAATAACAAACACTTAAGATGGCAGGATTCAGGCCCTGACAATATTTTGGTGGATAACATATTGTGAAAAAGTCAGTAAGACTATATGGCTCAACAGATAATTAATGCTTTGAGAGGTCTGACCAGCTATTACACAGTATGTTACTTTAACCACCCTCTATTTTGTAACAATTATTGCTTAAAGAGACACACACAAAAATGGCTTAAAAATACACAAAAAAAACACAAGCATAAGATACATACCAAAAAATGGCTTAAAAATACACACCAAAAATGCAACTGGACCACACATATCTGTCCAGGGAAGGGAGTAGAGTTTCTGCCCTTCTAGTATCAATTCTTTCCAAGAACTGATTATGTAGCAAAGTGTTTATAAAGGAAATTTATGATTTGTAGCAAAGTGGCTATAAAGGAAAGCATGAGAAGTATCAGCTTCCCCGCCCAGGATTCACAAGGTCTCCCCCTGCATTGCCAGGGGTCCCTATTAGTAAGAGAAAGGTGGAGCCGGACTGCTTCCCAGAAGAAGGGTTGGAGCATTGGCCTCTTACCCCCAGCATTCAGTCTATGCAAGGCAGAGGTACTGCACTGAGTGAGGCTGGAGGGCTGATGAAGGTGTCTATATCCCTGAAGGCGGAAGTCCCTTGAGTTCCGAATGGGACTGGACGCGCTGACGGCATTCAAGGCTGAGTCCATCGGGTCCAAGCGAGGCTCCAAAGGACCAGGGAGGCTGTCATTCAAAACAAAGGTTTCACCTGGAAGACACAAGCAACTGGTGAGAGAGAGGTAAGCAACAGCTATGGTGCTGCAGTATACACAAACATCTAGGGTGGTAAGTCAGCAACATGGAGCAACTTTTATTCAGCTAGAAAGTTGGGGAGAGGGAATCATTTTCACCACGTTGTACCAAGTTCTTTGAGATAATCTCCCCCGACCCCCAAATAATTGTATTAATCAGTCTAAACTGGTGCTGGTGTTGACCTCTAAAGCCCTTCATAGCATGGGCCTGGGTTATTTGAGGGACTGTCTCTCCCCGATTTCATCTGCCCATCCCACTAGATCTAGCAGAGTGGGTATGCTGTGGGTTTCATCGTCTAGGGAGCTTCGTTTGGCAGGCCCTAGGTGGGCCTTTTCTGCTGTGGCGCCCACATTGTGGAATCTTCTCCCCCAAGAGATGAGATCGGCCTCATCACTCCTGAGTTTTCAAAGGTCACTCAAGACCTAGTTATGTCAGCAGGCCTGGGAACCCCAGGGGACAGATGAACTAGTGAGGTGGCTCTATTATTAACATCCCTTCACCTATTATTTTCCTTTTCTGTTTTAGTTTGTTTTTATAGTTTTTAATGTTTAATAATTACTATATTTATTGTTTTATTAGTTGTATGCTGCTCAGAGTCACTTTTTGTGAGATGGGCGGCCTTATAAACTTGATTAATAAAATAAATACATAAATAAATAAACAAACACTCTGTTATTATCATACGTAACAAAGTTCAGTCATTTTCTTCATGTCCTAGAAGTTCTT